CTGTCTGTCACTATCCAAATTTCCAAGGAGCTGCATATTGTTACCCTCTCAGTAAGGGCATTACAAATCAATGCATTTGCTCATGATGCCTAACCTGAACAACACATATACTCTTTGGAGATACGGAAAATGTTCTCTTACTATTTTTCTTTTATCTGTTTTCTCTATTTTTTTTTTTTTTTGGCTTTTTGTTTGTTGTATCCTTAGGAGCTAGAACCAACCCCCTCAGTTCTTTCTATTTACTCTTTGTTGGATGACAATTCTTCAGCTGAAATGTATCCTATATTTATTTCAGGTCAACTGTGAGACCAAGAAAAAACATTTCCATGAAGCTTCTGCCATTTTACGGAAAGGAAAACTTAAAATTATTTAATAACCTGTTCCCATAGTCAAAAGTAATATTGGAAAGCAGTATATTTCTCTGCAAACCAATATCTTCACTTGTATATAATTAATGAAATAGGCACAATGAAATGACTGTCTGACCAGCATGGCTTCCTAATCTATAAAACAATAAGCAATTTTGAAGAGTATTTTTCTGTCAGATCACGGATTGATTATCTTGAACATAGGGGTCCCTTTAATTTTTAGAAAGTGAAAGCTTTATTATGTTTGTCTTTTGATAAAAATGATGGAGTACTGAACCACATGCATGCCTGAACATACCTGTTGCTAACATTACTGTTTCAGTCCTCAAAAATATCTGCAAGCTTTTCAGCTTGAAACAAATAAACCCTCTCCACAGTTTATAGTAACAGCTGACCCTAGCTTTAAAGGAGCAGATGGGAGTCATTCGTATGCTATCAGAATGTGGAAGACCACACAACACGTAAGCTATGGAGAAGGTAGATCTTCTAACAAGAGAGAAAATATTGTACTTTTAAAAGCAATTTTATGCTCTAGAAAGTTAGAGCAGTATTTTTATAAACTCGGTTCCTCATGTTATTTACTATCTTCAGATGAGATAATTCTTCCAAGCACCAATAACTCAATGAACACAAACTAAATTCATCCTTGCTTAAGTTCTGTACCTATGTAATTACAAACCATGTGTTTTTACTCTGAAGAATGCTGAAATGCTCTGAGTAACTACAGGTGGAATTAAGATACTGAGCATTAGTTACACCATGACAATAGTACCTGTTTAACCAATACAAACAAATGGCAAAACTTCTACAAAAAGCTAAATATATATAAAATATACAGATTTATGATAAAGAACATGCCTTAATTCTCTTAGGCAAAAACCCTTTTACTGACCAGAAAGGTGGGAAAGTTATTCCTGAACTTGAATCTTGTCTCATTAAACTACCAGAGTGCTACAAAAGAATACTAGATATTGAAGTGTGAAATTTTTCTGCTAAAGGGGTGTCATAAAATGTCACTCAGAAAATGGCAATAAGAAATAGCTATTCAGTCCAGAAAAATCTGGGGTGACAAAGTAAAAGTCTACAAGATCACAAGAAAGTTGAAGAGGGGAAAAGTGATAAGTTTCTCTGTTTCTGCAAGACCCAGAGGGCATCACACAAAGAACAACAAAGGACATGAGCATGAGAGGTGATCAACACGTAATTTTCTTTGTCAAGGAATGCTGAAATTTTGCAGTTTCAGACAGAGAATTAACAAATCCATGGAAGACTATGAAAATGGTAGAAGCTATGACTCAGGAAGACCCTAAACTGAAAAAGATGTGCTCTGGTTCTGGAAAAGTGTCTCACCTACTTGTCCCGTTTCTGTTTTACTCTAGACACTTTCCTACGGCCACTGCATTTGAAAAAAGCAGAAGTACAAACTACTCAATTTTGATCTTTGTGTAGTAATTAAAGACTCAATGTCCTCGGTAGCTTGCTTGACTGCCTATAAGCAAAAAGCTTTTCCTTATAGCTTTGCTGAATCTTTCCCGTTTCAACATGTGCATTCTGGCCTTCAAGCATCTCGCCATGCAGCAACAGGAGACTGACTTCAGCGTTGCAACACCCTTCCCATAGGTAGTGCCCCTGCTCTTATGTCCCCAAAGCTGTCTCTTCTCCAGGCTGAACAAGTCCAGTTCACCCAGTCCCTTCTCACAGGGGTCCTGACACTGCTTTGGTTACTCTCCAATGGACTTGCCACAGGCTACTGATGCATTTCCTGTCTTGGATGGGGGGTCAAAACTTGACACAGTAATTGCACTCAGATGTTGAAGTTACGTCTTGTGATACAAAAAGCAGTGGATGGAAAGTGGACGTCTCATTTTTGGTAATATTTTCTTTGTTCAGAAAAAAAAAAATGCTCTCTTCTCATTCAACCATCTTTAAACATGGCTAATACTGGAAGTTGCCCAGCTAAGAGGTAGTAAAGTAGTTCAGATCTCCTAGGGCCCACTAAAGAGAACAGAGAATTTAAATCTGAAGATAAACCTACCTTTTAAATCTGACTTTAAAGTCTGCTAAAATAGTAAAGGGAAAGAAGTTAAATGAAGAAAACCAGAATCCATGTTGAAGAACGATATGGTGAAGGAGTAACATAGAGGGTTAATCTTCATATGCTTAAAACATAACTCGTAAGAACATCTGCAAATCTACAAGTTCTAGGTGGAATGTATCTGTAATATGGAGAAAAACTACAATTTGTTTCAAACTCTAATTTGTAGTTTTTAAAAACAACCCAAAACTAGATGTTGCAAGTAGGTGCACTTAAACTGTCTGAGCTACTTAAAACACTAGAAGGGAAGTTTTCAAGAAGTTTCAATTTAGCATTTGACATTTTTATGGTATTCAAAATTCAAGGACAGTTCTATTTCACAGAATTCTTAAAAAAAAAAAAAAAACCTCAGTCTACAAAATATATGTCAGCAATACAGTGGATGTAGCTTAAACTGAGATATGTAAGAAGGACAAAGGGATGGCAATATTTTTTCAGTATTTTAGCAGTATTTTGCACAGAAATTAGTGACAAACTCTTTTCCCAAAAACAAGGGGAAAAGGAATATCTTGGTCTTCTCCCCATTTTTTCCTCTAAAGCAGCATATTTTTTTCTGAGCTTTCCAAAAGAGGATCCACAGAATGACAGCAATGTTTCATTAGAGTCACATTAAACATCAGCAACTCTTTCTTCCCCCAAATAAACCACAATCAATCAATTAAACCACTCCAGTGGTGAAAATGTATAAACATTTGATTAATGTTTAATGTCAAACTCTTTACAAAGAAAAACAGGCAATAAATAGTGCATGAAAAAAGCTCTGAGAACTCAAGGGAACAGAAGTCTTACTTACTGGTTTACTGCTGAGCAACTGTGAAAAAAATCCTAAAAAGCAGCTGACTTTTCCCCTTTTTGTGGAGGACAACTTGTAAGAGAACCTTTGAAAATTTAAGCACTGTTTTGACATCTTAGTTTGTATGTCAGTTGAATTTGGATTACATTTTTCTTTATCTATCCGCAAATAATTTTCGTTAACATTTCATTATTTGATAACTTCAGAATTCAATTCTCTTTAAGTATCTGAAGGCTAGAGCAATATCATTTAGATAAATACTACACTCAGACAAGTATTTGCATCTCTATTAAAATATGTTTTCCAAAGATGTGATTCAATTAGAATCCCAGGATAAATTAGGCTGGAAGAGACTTCTGGAGTTCAGCTGGTCTTAGCAGGGGCAATTTCTCATGAACTTGTGCAGCTGAGTTTTGAATAGCTCCAAGGACAGACATTTCATGGCCTTCTTCAGTGAAGTCTTCCAGTGCTTTATATTGTTGTGTTCTGCGTCTGGCCAAGACAGAGTTAATATCTGTAGTAGCCAGGAGTGGCATGGCCAGGACTCAGAGGTTATTCTATACCACCTGATGTCATTTTTCAGTGGCAGGGGAAGGGCATGGCAGTGGGAGTGGTTGGGTATTGTCAGGGGGTTTCCATGTGAATTGTTTGCCTCTCCCTTGTACCCTCTGTCATTGGTATTGTTGCTGTTATTATTTGTTTTCTTACCTCATTGCTGTTTCCAGTAAATTATTCTTATCTTAACCCATAATCTTTACCTTTTATGCCTCCAGTTCTCCTCTCCATCCCGCAGGGGAAGGGAGGGGAAGGAGGGAGTGAGCAAGCGATGTATGGTTTGGAGTAATTTCAGTGGGAACACTAAATTGGAGAATACCATTCCGAAACCACGACATCTCAGTATAATTTTTTTTCTCCTCTATCCACTCAGAGAAGGCCTTGCTGAGACTTGACTGTTGCTCTTGTCTTTTTATTCTACATTTCTGAGGAAGGTCTGGCTTTATCAATTTTTTATACCACAAACATGTTCTTTGTTAAAGAAAATGAAATACAAAAATTACAACCTGTGAGTACCAGATTGTCTATAAAGTTCTACTCATCTCTAAGTAATCAAAGCTGAGCTGAGAAAGTAGCTCTGATAAACACACTATAACCTACAGAAGCAGTTATCTGAGGGCATCAGCTCTGAAATGCATACAATCTCTAGAGAACTGACAGAAAAGAAGCAGCTCCACTATAAGGACATCTACCTTTTCTATCATATTTCTAAAGAGAATATGAGTAAACCCTCTCACCTGGGGCTTCTTTGTCTTTGGAAAGGAAGAGAACAAAGGAACCACACACACAGCTGTTCCCTTCCTCCCTCTCCACCAGTGCCCCATTTGAATTCCACCAGCACTGAGGTGCCAACACAACAATTTTTACATAAAACACAGCTTCCAGTCTGAGTGTTTTTGTAGATCTTGAACAATCACAGTGATCCTACAATAATAGCCAAGATTTTAATTTTTTAGGCCCTAATTCTCAATTATGCTGACACCTAAATGAGAACACATGTGTACAGGTTTTTTTGTCAAGAATACTCCTATCACTTTGTGTTTCTATCTTTTATTGACTTAGACCCCTTGTGGTATTCAGATAAGGGTAAAGTGAAATTCTGCACAAGTGATTTGTTGACATAATGCCAGTGAAAAAATATCTGTGCTTTGATGTGCAAAGAAACATGAAAAAATATATAAAGACATACCTGGTCCAATGCAGAATGATGCAATGATTGCAAGGATGCAAAATATACTTAGGTAAGGAAGCCAATGCACAGTGTTCTGGGTAGATAAAAGACATTCATGTTAAGCATATTGTATGTATCACAAATATTTACAAAAATAGTTTTTAAAAAATCACAGATAGTGTTTTCCATTATTCTTTATCTATTTCAGAATTTAGTCTAGGGTTACTTTAGAAAATCACAGTATTTCTGTAGGACCTTACTAGATGACTTGTATTAAAAATCTTGGTCTCTGTGGAATCCCTGTAGAGAAACACTAGACAAGCTCATGCACCACAGAAGTCAGAACTCTAAAAATTCGCAACTTCTTGTGCTAAAGTTCAAGCCAATCTGGAAAAGAGGTTTTCTTTCCAACGAACAGATTAAGCACCACCAGCCTCCTCAGATATTTCAGTCATTTTTAGAAGGAGCAACTACGATGGCCCACAGAGCTTCAAAGTTCACCAGTCAAAGCCTGGGCTGAAGACTAGACACGACACGCTGTCAGTCGGTGTGAGAGCTGAATCTGAACCTTGCCCCTGGGGAAGCCACAGCCCAGGGATTTTTCAACCATAATCTTACTTTGCAGACAAGGAGAGCCATGTGTGCAAACAATAGGTAGAGGTAAAATCAGAACAAGGGAACTGTAAATAGCATCACTTATTTTCCTCCCAAGGCAGTCTTTCTTCTACTTCTAAGCAGATTTTTCTCTATTCAGACCTCTAAATGATAGGAACCTGAAATATGATGAGCAATTTCTATGGAGTTAGCAGAACACTTTTCTTAATCACGTATGCCTGATTCTAATACCATTGAGATGGGAAAAAACCATGGATGCCCATTTCTTTCTCTCTCTGACAGGAGGGGTTTGTTCCCCAGTAAAGTGTGAATGATATTTTTATTAGAATTTTACTATTTTTGAAAAGTTGGTTAAGATACATGTAACTGTACTATCAGAAAATATCACCTTGAATGGCACTGTAAAAATATGCTTGCTAAAATATTTTATTGAGAATTAATTATAAAATAAATAAATAAAAATTTATTTAAAATATTTTTTTTTTTCAGTAAAGACCCTCATTTTGTGATGTGATTTTTCTTCCAGTCTGAGTTATTCCTTTAGTTCTGTTGAAAACATGGTCTCCTAGGCATTAATGTTAACCAAAAGGCTTGTAAATCTATCAAAATTACACAATCTGGAGTTCTTGTTTAGGAGAAAATCCAAGGTCTCTGAGAAAGAGAAGATGCAAATACAGAGTAGACAAATTCCTCTGGGATCAAGCCTATTTGTATCCTGGTCTTTTGTTCAAAGTAAATCTCTAATACTTAACAGATTGAGACACTTTGGATGAAAGGATGTAAAACTGAAAGCCATTCAGACTTCATGGATTTACAATAGCTGAAGGTCTTCACACATCAAACTAGGTTTCAAGAGATCTAGAAGAGAATTTTTCACTCGGCATACAAGATTTGCAATAGTATCTCTCTTCTGGAGGAGAGCTGTTTTATGGCTGTCCTGATTGCAGTATGTGAAGTAAAGCTTTATTGTGCTGTACATACAGGTAAGTCAAACAAAAACTTTGTAATGTTGTGGTGTACACCTGCCAGTCACACTGACTTAATGACTCTCTTCGAACAAGAAAGGAGATTTGAAAGTCAGATTAATGGCACCACACGGGTATCAATAACAGCAGGAAAGCAACTCGATGAAAGACCACCCAAACCCATGCCATTGCAGATGCCAGTTTTACTTCTCAAAAGTCCTCAGGAAGAGAAACAAACTGCATCGTTATATAAATGGAAGCCAATAAAGGAAAAATTACTCATGGGTAGAATTTAAACTGTTTTAATAATCCTCCTCTGATCATTTGAAACAGCTGGGGAATTGAGTGCTAATAAGATCTGAGAACTTAGAATAAATAGTCATAGAATCATTTGGATTGGAAGGGACCTTTCAAGCTCACCTAGTTCCAAACCCACTGCAGTGAGCAGGGACATTGTCAAATAGATCAGGTTGTTCAGAGCCCCATCTAACCTGACCTTGAATGTCTCCAGGGATGGGGCATCAATCACCTCTCTGGACAACTTGTTCCATCATTTGACTCTCTCTCATTGTAAAACACTTCTTCCTTATAACTAATCTAAATTGGCCTTGTTTTAGTTTAAAATCATTACCCTTTGTGCTATCACAACAGGCCCTGATAAAAAGTCTATCCTCCTCTTTTTTCTAAGTGCAAATATTTCCCAAAGGCTAAATCTTTATATTGCCTATACAAATACCAGACAAGTAACTTGAAGAAATAGCAAACATGAAATTTTTTCACTACTGGAAAAAAAAAAATCCAAACCTAAAATAGTGATGACATATAAAGTAAGAAAGAAATCTCAGAGAGACTGAATCACAAAGATAAACTCATGGAATGTGTAAAAACTATTTACTCAACTATGGGTAAAATTGTCTTCGTAATAGTTCATAATATGAATAAATCTCTGAGTTAAGGAGACAGAATGTGAGAAAGCCCCTCTTGCTTTTTAATGCAAAAGCTGCTATGACTAATGATAGCACTTTGAAGTCAAGAGATTCATAAATTAGCAAAAGAGATCGTTCAATCCTTATGCCTTATCCTTATCCTTATGTTCAATCCTTAATCCTGACTGATTAAAAGGATTCACTTATGTAGGAATGTCGAGGCCAACCAGTATCAAGCATATTTAAAATAGGTCAAAGAGAGAGTAAAAATATATAGTGACTGAGGCGTTACCTGTAAAGTCAGGGAGACAGTAAGTACAGAGAAGAAGACAACCATCAACCCAAAACCTCCAATAAGAAGAGGCCTGCGCCCAAGCCGTTCAATAACCAAGCCCTGGAAAACAAAAGGTGGCATTTGACTTTCTTGATAAAGCACTGAAGAACTTGGACCATGTGATATGTTCTCCCAGTAAACGTGAAGATTAAAAATAAAACCATGAGAGTTGATTTTACACTATTTATAAGCTATGACATGTTCGTAATTGTGCTCACAATTATGTTTACACAATTTAGCCTCTTTGAAAACACAAGCCAGCATGGCATCCTTATTTGAGACCACTGAAAAGACAAGGAAACCATCAAAGCAGTAGTTGGTATTTGTGTTATGCCCAAATTTCCTACTACAGAACAAATATAACCATATAGATAGAAAAATGTGCAATGGGTAAATTCATGTTTAACACCATTAGCATAGTAGATTTCAAAGTTATTGCTACATTTACCTTTTTGAGCAACAATTTAATAATAAAACAAGTGATGTACATTAGCCATATAAAAATAATTAATATGATGATAACTAAATGAAGTTTGATTTTTTTTTACAAGGCATAAATAATTGTAGATTGATTGAATAGCTTACAAATTTGCACCAAATTTCTATAATAACATTCTTACAATATGTAATTTTTAAATGCCATTGTCGAAGCAAACTATAGTCTCTTGCTTTTGTATTTTGACTGCTTCATAATTTCAATATCTCTCTGAATTTAAGCTTAAACATTTAAAATTTAAGTCTTAAAGCTTTTTAGCATAGATTAAATTTTGTTAAACTAGAATTTATTTTAAATTTCTTTTTTTGTCCAAACACGGAAGAAGCATTTAGTCATGATTTTGGACAGATAGCGTAATTAGAATATCCAGACAAAAGAAATCCACCCAGAAGAAAACTTTGCTCAGACAAGTGATTGTAACACTGATACTTGTACACTCATGTTCATTTTAAATTTCTATTTAACGCTTCAATATAAGTCACAAAATCTGAATAGAGAAGAACACAGTGAAGAATTGCTTGCAAACCTGTAACATGAAACTGTCTTTGCTAGTCTGACTCATTAAAATAGGCTAATACATATTTTAGGTCATAATGGATGATGTAATTTTCATGCTGATAATTACTAAAATTACAATTACAGTTGGTTTTCTTATGAGAAAAATAAAACAATTTTACAAAGCCCAAAATGTACTATTTCAAATAAGGTAGAGTCAGACTCACATGACTGTTTGTCATATGATTATTTACTATAGGCTGAAATCCATCTTCCACATATCCTTTGAGCAAAAGATAAAATGAGCAACTAAAATGAAACCTGGACTAACCTCCTTAATTCTGGGAGACAGGACACACCATTCCCCTGTGAGCATTGAGATGAAATGTGTTAGAGGAAAGTACGAAGTCACCCAGAGACTTGCCTCAAGTGGCAAGAACTTCTTCAGTGTGGGGTTGACCATCAGATCTTAGGACAGGCTTCAACATGTGTTCACCTTGTACCCTGAGCTGAACTTCCACACCAGAGATGTGCACTGTTAGACTGCAGAACACTGAAAGCAGCTCTGTGGCAAGATTTAGCATTCCTCGTTTCTTTGAATGGTGAAATATACTCACTTGGAAAGTTTCCACAGCTTCCATAATAGAATTATGGAATTCCAAAAAGACGCGCACTGATGTTAATAAGATTTCACATTGTGCTCACGAGGACCAAATGTTTCAAAATTGCAACTGCTTCACTGTTGAAACCTTTACAAGATGGTAAGTAGTTTCCATTATGATGAATGAATCCATCTTGCCGATGGATTTTAACAGATTATAACATAACTTCCCAAGAACTCCCGAGATGCAAGTATTTATCACCTCATTTTCTTCACCTGCTATGACTGGCTGTCACTGGAACATATTTCTTCCTGTTCTGACCCCGGTAAGAGCCACTGAGTTTCAATGGAAATATCTTGCATCACACATACCCTTAACCAAGAGACATCTTTTATGGATCTGAAGGATGAATGGGTCTGTAAGACAGAGACTTCTGCAACAGATGTTGCACATGTAATTAGGTATGAATTACACATTCAGCAATAAATGCTGCACATGTAATTTGACATACTGGGCAATTTCTCTTATTTTTTTCAATGCTGGGTTGGTGGTCATGATTAAACAATTTCAGTGTTCCCCAGCTGGTGGGTTTTATGTTAAAACAGGGTAAGGGATTATGCTTTTCTTAGAGGCAAAAAGGGTCGTAGATGCCTCTCGTACAAAACATGGTGAAGATCCGATACATAGTTTTCAGTTGTAAAGCTCAAAGCAAATCAAATTCCAGTAAGGGAGAACAGCTTGGACAAGTCCTTCAAAAAACCATGTGTGTGTAGTTATGTCTACCTACACTGTGGACATATTTGTGTAAAACTAGGTGGGTTGGTGAGGTGCTCCCCGTTTTAATTGAGACCAGCCAAGCACAGATACAGTTACAGCAGATCTGTGGGTTCTATATCCTTTTTACAGAACATAACAGTAGTTTCTAATATATCTGAATTCTGTTTTACTCAGAGATAATTTGGGAAGAAATAAAGCAAATGCATGTGCAAGCAAGTCCATGACATTCTGTTTCCTGAGCTAATGCCAGGTTTCCCAAGCATTCATCAATGCTATCTGTTTAATACAGAACCATTCAGGAACTTGGATGCTTCAGCTTCTGGGCACTAGCTGCAGTTTCTGACCCAAACAATTTATAATTGCTGTTGTTCGTTACACTTCTGGTCATTTATGGATTGGACCAACTTCCTTCACAGGAAAAATAATCAGGAATTTTGTCCTTACTCACAGGGACAATATGTTGTCTCAGAATTGCTGGGAATCCTATAATCATTTCTACTTTGAGGATTCAGTAATACTTGAAAAGCAAGGTCTAACACATCTTCCACAACAGCAAGTTTCCCTGGTGAAAAAAAAGCTGGGTTTGAGGTTATAAACAGACAGCAATTAATTTTTTTAGTTATGATTATACTAATTCAAAACTTGTTAACTTGCAAAACCCACTAAGACGCTTATGACTCATAAGAAGTGGAAGATGATTCACTGGTGAGTTCTCAAGTATTTATAGTTTTGAATGCTCCACTGCTATGCATTGGTAACTGTTACCTATTGAAGACCTATAACAAGTCAAAATATACTATACAGTAGAGTAAATGAAATAACAAGACATTCAGTATATGCTCTAGTACAGACAAAAGAAGAACCTTACAACTGCATTCAGTGATAGCACACTGAGTTATGTGCCAAACTGTGTAGGCTGATACTTGTTTATGTGTGATCATAAACATGCCTTTGCAGAACCCTATACCCAGTCATGATAATTAACATAGCTGAAATTACTGAAAATGTGTAAAAAAATATTGTAACCAAAATTCTCTCAGCACAAATGTTTGGTGATAATAAGGCAACTGATATGCAAACTACGTTAACATTTCACACAACTTACTTTTGTCTGGCAGGAAACACTTGTGAATAAAGTTAAAGAAGCAAATGTCAACCTTTTCACTTGAGTCAGCTGCAGATACCAAGGCTGACATAATGAAAGCAGAGTGCATTAAAAAAAGATCAGACAAGCTTGTCTGGACAAAATGAATGTCTATGCAAGTTTTACAGCCCAAATAGGAGGTCACTGAATACTATTCCCTACTTATATCCTGGCCCTAGATTATACTAAGAAAACTCTGTCAGATTTTCTTGATGTGAAGCTCTGTGAAGAAGTTTGCTCTGTATGTTAATGTCAATAGTAGCCACACTTTATTTCTGACATATTTTGGATAAAGGTCTGAGTTAGACTGTATGACTGGTTTCAGACTTAATGTGGCAAGCTAATACTCTTAATTCCATTTTAAGTATCAGGATGAAAAAGTATAATCTCATTTATGTAACTTTATGACACAATGTGTAGTATCTTGCATCCAGGAAAAGGAGCAGAACAGCAGACTGAGCACTATAAATTGAGGGGTTTTGCTTTGTATTTTGATGTATGTCCATCGGTCTACTCTATGAATTATACATTTTAAAACAAAAAAAGGGTTATTGTATTTAAGTACCTAAACTGGAATTTACAGGCCTAGCATCAAGTTTGACCACACAAGCAAAAGCCTTAAATAAATTGCTGCATTTGCCTGCATCTGTGTTAAAGTCGTGACAGGATAAGATCCTACACACCTTCTGTAGCTGCCAGGCTGGAGATTACTCTCAGCAAAGGGTAGAATTGATTGCTAAGTTTCCAAGCTCAGTTTGAAGTATTTTGCAGTAAGGCATCCTTAATCAGCTTCAGTTGGAAGAGAAATTTTCTACTCACTAAAGATGCTCTCCATAGTCAATGCCTGCCAGACCAGCATGACTGAGACAGGAACTCATCTAGCCAGATGCTTTTGCCTCAGCAGTGCTTGGCAACAGCCCCTAGGGCAACACAAAAGCACCTCATTTCATTGTTCCTATGATGTCCCTTCAGTAAACTGTAGATATTTCTGAATCAAAACACCTTCTGTTGGTGATTTAGCTGTTAAAAGCCCTAGGTTTTGTCTCATGCCATGTTCATGCTATAAAAGCTAGACTAGATCCCAACCTTAATCTATGACAACTTATTGTGGCTGGTGCTTTATTTTCTAATGATAGTATTTGAATGCCCTGATGAAGATCATCTTGAACAGATTGATACAAACATTACTCAAAACCAATGTTTTTTAATCCTCAGCAGCAGGAGATAGCTTTAAGAGTTTCAATTTCTGAATGTATCCTGCAAAAGGATTTGTACTACATAAACTCAGCCTTTAACCATGTACACCTTGGGTGTTAGGAGTGGCATCGTAAGGTAGACTTTCATAATGAGACTTTTTCTCCTGGAAGGCACTACATGGTTACTTCAACACATGTAAGCCTTGTCTAGTCATAAGTCCACATGTATTAAAACAATTGAAAAGGAAACACGTCTTTGTCTAACAGCAATTCCATTGATCACTTGTGGATGAATGCAGTGTGCATTAACGCAGTCACACTCTGCAGTCCACCCTGCAGTGAAAATGTGCCTGTATGCCTCTGTCCATCAACAAACACCATGATCTGAGATGCTGGTTGGCCAATCTTTCTTTTCTACTGCTGACTCTATCCAGGCTATTACAGGCCAAGATATAACTTTGAAATTCTGGTAGTCCTTGAGCAACAGCTTGTCCGGGTGAGGGGAGAAAGAGGGAGGAATTCCATGTTCTTGTACTCTCCTCTACTTACATCCTATTGGGGTTTATGGGCAGGTGAAGGCTGATTCTGACCTAGTGTGAACAGTCTTACGTGGGACTGCCTTAAAAATCCTACTAAAAATCAGATTATAGCATAACTCCCTAAGAACTCTTGAGATGCAAGTATTTGCCACCCCATTTTTTTTCATTTGATATGACTGGCTTTCGCTGATACATATTTCTTCCTGTTCTGACCCCAGTAGAGCCACAGAGTTTCAACGGAGATATCTTACATTGTCCTTTGGAAATCATGGAGGAAATGTGTTGGGGATGAGAATACCTATGGAAGTATATGGAGTACCCTTGTTTTAAGATGAGCCATGGCCCAAGCAGGGAATCCCTCCAATGTTAAGATCTACTAACATTAGAAGAAACACAGACCAAGTCTAAGAGCTCTTTCTCACGAGATCCTGAAGCAGAATAAAATCATCTTGCCTAAGAAGGTTGGCTTCCTTGACTTCTGTGTGATACTGCAAAGGATTTCCTGTATTCTTTTATGGTCTAGTACTGAAATGTATTTTAACTCACTTGTGGCTTCATATGGCTTGTCTCTGTCACAGGCTTTTAGTAACACCTTGGTGCATCACCTTATGGGAAATGCTTAAGGCACGGTGTTCTCAATATAGCCATAGCTAGTCTCTTTCTGTGAACACTATATAAAGACCAAATGTGGTGTCACAGATGGCAAAATTGGATGTGGGATGTTTAATTTGAATAACATTCCTTTTTATTCTATGCTGGTTTCATGGAGGAGGGAAGGAACCTTTTCAGAAGCTTACTTGTCTCTTTACATTCACCCTGTTGCCTTGCTAAAGAAAGGCACTGGCAAATTGTTCTTTTTGCCCACTAAGAGTAAGATAACAACTAAATTAAATAACCTCAATCAGTAAAAATTAAAAAATAGCCATAGTAATCACTCTTACTAAAGAATAACTAAGTTTGTGGAATCCCCTTACTGAAGAATTTATAGAACAGACTTCTAATAATCACAGGGAATTATTTAGGTGTATTCTATCCTACTTTAATGAATGGTTTCAGGTTAGATAAGGCATATTGCTGTAATATGCCTACAAGTAGCAAATCCAGTCAGTCAGTCATTCCAGAGGACACCAAACTTCTTCAGAAGTAAACTGAAATTAATGGGCACCCTCATTAAAAAGTAGATTGTCTAGTCAGTCCTCTAAACTGAATCTGTGTTCAGTACAGTGGGTGGAATTCTCACAATTAACGAAAAAACATACAGGAAGTTTTATATTCTCTCCCTAGAGAGAAGCCAGGGCATCAAGCATGCAATGCTACAACAGAGGTGTTTTGTGAAGTAAACTAGGAAGTGCTAGTGTAAGCAGAATTTGTAGCCAAATTTTATGAATGGAAGGAACATAACGATACAGGTGTTTCACTTTTCAATGGCTTGGTAACATGGCTTTTGCTCGAGGGGAAGAGGAACGGAGCTGTAGGCAAAGCATGCTACTAGCTGGCATATCAAGCGATCTGAGGCAACACAGAGCTATAAAATGATGGGATGTTATTTACCTTTCCTCACGAACCACATCAACATTATTACTATGTGCTGCTGCTCCTAGGAGACACATTAAAGGGAGACTTTCAAAATTTTTCAGAGTTTCAGTATTTCTCTCCTAAATGTTAACTTTGCTTTTCTGTGAAATATGTCTATTTCAATCTATTCCTTTGGCATCATCAATGGAGCTCGTCAATACCAGTATTCTTATTGAGGCTCGGAGTCTCATAGTCACCTCATTTAGGCATAATGATCACAGATGGTATGTGATTTCTTGTGGGCCTCTCCTATCTAATTTACAAGGACAAAAACTATATCTCTGTTACTGATTATCTCTACTGAAATCCTGGAGTTTACTGTAAGTAAAATCTGGCTTCTTCTAGAAAGCACAACATATTAAAAAGACCAGGAAAATAAAGTCCTGTTTCTACTTTCTTCTGTTTATTTCCTGAGTGGTACAAAAGGCACGCACATCTGACTTAACATTTAATGCTGTCAAATAGATTAAACAAAAATGGCATAAAGCGTCATTGGGATAGGTTAAGAGGGGGAAGAAATGCCCCATCCTTAGTGCTAGGAATGAAGAAAATTAGAGGAAGTTACTTGAATAAATAAGCTGCAAAACCCTCAACTGAAAAATGAAATTCACACTGTTGTTGCTTTAAACAGCAGCAATGAAATATCTCTGAAGATTACTGTAATAAAATTAAGGCTACAAAGCAGCATCTCTTGACCTGAGAAATCTGAAGAGAGAAGAGATATCAACACATCAGCATTTCCAGAAGCACGGAAGGTAGCTTAAACAGAAAAAGTATTAAAAACACTTCTCTTGAGAACAAAAAGTTACACATACCAGGAGCCAAAGCAGACACATCCACCTCATTATGTATGAAAAGTGCGCTCTGAATAAGCCCCACAAACTGACAGCACAGATGACAGACCCTATTTATATAATGGCTTTAATATCAGGGAATCATCTCCATGTAATTTTCATCTGTTTTCACATAAAAGAGGTGTATTCTTCACTTATATCAGTGGCAGAATTATCATAATTGTTTTTACATATATCTTAAACAGAGGAGTGTTTGTGCAGTATCACAAAGAAGAAACTGTAACAGGTAGGGACTTCCATATTTCCCTACTAATCAATGTCTCTTTAATTAAAAAAGAAATTAAAAATAGAAGCTTTAGCCAAAAATAGATTTGTGGAAATTCAAAAAGATCAGAAGAAGATATTTGTGACCTTTAGAGTCCTTATGTCCTAGGCAATAAGAAAATATACTTGATAGCTAGATTTAGTTTAACATTTTGTAGGTCATAAGCAGTTGCTCTGCCACAGAAAAGGATTTTTTTTTCCAAAACCATTCTTCTGACATTTAAAAATGCTTGGCTTGTGTGTCCACTATTGTGCAAATACAGTTAGTATAGAATATATGAAGATAAGGAAAAATTCTAGCAGGGAAAGAAAACAGTACTTGCTTGTTTGCAGCTTTCCATTCCTAAGACCTCTCCCATTGCTTCTTATTTATTGCAGTGCAAATAGAAATGCATTTCCTTTAGCAATTAATCGTGCATTCACCTACTAAAACTTTCAGATTAAGTTTACTCATTTAGTGTATTTTTTTTTCCTAGTCAACTTTTCCAGTTTGAAATTGGAAAGAAAAAATGTGCATGGATGATTTTTTTCTATTGTTTCCTCTCCATTCAGTGCAGAGTGAAGGTCCCCAACCTATTCAGGAGCTCACATGTTACAAAAGGATGCCTGCCTGTCCTTGGTGAGTGAGAGAGCAGAATTTAACACCACCCTAGAAATGGAACACTCTTTTCTAGCATGCTGGCTCACTTTTCCACCAATCTGGGTGGCTGTTTCTGCAAGCCACAGCGAACACACCTACCTGTACTGTGCCTGAGCCTTCTCCAACAACACTGTCTGCTTACAAACAGACACATGAGAAGACTCTCAGATGTGAATAAACTGCTACCAGGTAAAGTTGTTTTACCAGGTAAAATCATTTATGAGTTACCACTTAATATACTTTGGGCCTTGCTGTTTCTGTCTTCCTCTTCACTCACACAAAGCACCTCAGGATATACCAACTCATATGTTCCTTTTATGGAACTAAAACTAAGGAGCATCTTAGAAAAAACATCCCAAAGATGCAAAACCGGGTTTAGGATTAAAATTAGAAATAATATTTTCAATCACTTTATCAAGTGTTACACTTAATCAATATACTATTCTCTTTATATTTTTAACCTGTGTAAGGAAATAAAATCGGTAATTTAAATATCAAGCATGTTAATGGATTTTTAAAACCATACTTACAGAAAAAACAGCAGCCAGAGTCTCAACAGCACCAGTACTTAGCGTAACATAGGGAATTGTTTCATGACTGATCCCAGCTTCACTGAAGATGTTGTTTGTGTAGTACCAGATCTGTATCAGAGAGGATAAAATGAGTTATTAATCGTTATGGATTGAACTACAATATATTGGTATTCAATTCAACCACCTAATCTGCCAGAGGCCAGACTTGTTAAACCTCTGAGGGCTCTCAAATGACCAAGGGCTGGACAAGGGACAACAAATGAAGGGAAGGTACAAATTCCAGGATTAGTCACAAGGCCGCTGTCCTTCTGCTTGCAGAACCAGGCAGAATTACAAACAGCTTTAACTCGATTTAGCTTAATTCACTTTAGGAGTAAATCAAAGAAACTCACTTTAAACTTGAACAAGAGGACACAAATAGGTTTCATGTGGCTGAGCCACGTTGCTTAACCAGCAGGTTTGTGTGGCTTTATGGAATACTTTAACAGCACATAACAACAGAGGAGAACACAAGAAAGAGATGTTGAGAGGCACTGAAGGAGCTGCTCGGTTTTGGATAGAAGGTGTGAGATTTATCTCTAGTTTAACGTCATTGCAGTGTGGACATCAGCAGTCAAGTCATTCCCCTAATGTTTCTTTATTATCCACAGAAAGAAAAGATATTTTTAGAATGAGAGTTGCTTGGTGAAAAGTAAAAAGCTGGTTTTAGGATGAAAGAAATCATAGGCTAGAAGTAGCTGTCACTAATGGAGAGAAACAGAGGTTGCATAGCTTAGAGGAAGTCAATCATGTTTGGTCAGTAAAACCATATCCAGTGGTGACAATATCCAGGCAGAGAATAGTAGCAATATTCTAAAATAACAAGTCTGGTAATCATTAAAGCCCTATTCACATCACAAATAAAGTTTGAAAACCATAGAATATTTGTGTTTGACTGAAGGTGACAGCAAAGAACTAGCCAAAGATTTTGGCTGCCAAAAGCATAAAAGAAGGAGAGACTGCCTTGGAGAGTGAAAATATAATTGATTTACTAGAGAAAATGAAACAACTGATTATCAAAAGAAAATAAAGTTCTAAATCACAGGTAATTTACCAGTGACAACAAAACTGAAAGCCAGAGATAATGATGGCACTAAACATAAAAGTAGCAGTGATATTTTTTCCCCATATGCTGTCCATGGGACACACCCTAACAGGGTTAAACAAAAGATTTGTCTAATGAATGGGAGTGTTATGATCACATGAGGAAAATCATGCTACCTGCTAGCATATTATGCACATGCTACATCTGTTCATCAAGATACTAACCCAGGAGTTTTGTAAAACAAAAAGTAACTCTAAATTCCAAATTAGCCCTTCAGCAAAGCTGCTTGTCCCAGATCAAAGAAGAAAATCCAACTGATCTTACATAAAACCAAAGCAAAATAAAACACCAGTGATAAGTCACCTTATCACCCTACAGATAAGGAGAAGCTGACTGAAGACTTTTATGCCTACTGCTGACACATCAGCTCGAACCAGAGCAGTGATGAGAATAATATCAGCAAACTTCTCTATATGAAGTAATCTGCCTTCAATGTAGCACGTGCTGGGGTTAACTGACCATTGGTCTGCTGATACAGAAGAGTATGACTGACCACTGATGGTAAGATTAAAAAACTCGCAGAACAAAGACAGGATAAGATTCACTGACTTACTACTCTCTCTAACAGCGCAAATATAAATTACGATAAAAATTAACAAAATGGACACATTCGAAAACTAAAAAGTGAATGTTTTTCAGCTTGTGTATCATTGAAAAGGGAAATACATTGGCAAACTTACTAGGCTAAAGATGACTTTTCTACTTTCACTTAAGTTATTTTTCTAACATGCTTTTTGTCAGCTAATGATTTCATTAGCTAACAAAATTAGCTAATGATTAGGCTAAAAGTTTTGGAGTGAAAGAGCTATTGAAAATGGTGCAGAAGGTTCAAAAACTAGATGGGCAACAACAGAGATGCAGTGTGGCACACTGCATACTCACCTCTTCCTGCCCTACCTGGTGCCAGTTATTCTCCACACCAACTGTGAAGAGCACACTGTGGTACATCTTTTGAATAGTGAAAACATGCATTGCTACTCAGATCCATCCCCAGCATAATTTCTTTCTACTTGAAATACAGCCCTCTGCCTTAAGGGGAGATCCTACAGAAGCCTAGGGATCCCACTTTGGGAATGACTCCCTTAAAGTAATATGCAGCCGGTGAAAAGGATAAACCGGTGAAAACTTCACTATAGTTTTACTTCTTTAGAACTGGGATAAAATGGTAGAAGATAAATGAATTTATTATGGCTTACATATATCAGATAAATGTTATCAGATGAAAAGAGACTAATACAAAATAATTTATTTATGTCAATGTAGGTCAGACTGTCTGGTATTTTGTTAGAATTGAAAACATTATTATGATCAGAACTTCACTGTGGTTTCTGTTCCGTGTGGAAACCAACAAATGTACTGTTTTTAATCAAAACAAACTTTTATTTAAAGCAAAAGCCTTAAAAGGAAGCAAGTTTCTCAGATACCAGCAGGATGATTACAGCTGGCAATTTCCCTGGAGAACGACCTGAGATTCTCGCCTGAAAGAATTCCAGCTTTCCCATATGCCCTGTCCAGATGGTAGTTGTGAAAAAGACCAGACTGCCTAACAGGGCACTACAGACAAAGCAAATGATGGGAGCGATGAGTGAGAAGGGGTGTTCACTGCCAGTTAAACCTGGCTGATGCTGGCTCACACCCAGCAGGTTGGTTCAGATGCACTCAGGCAAACTAAGACCCAGGATCTGCAATATTTGTCACACCTGGGCCTGTCCTCTAATCTTGGAGTTTCAGGTGACTTGAGCAAGATCAGTCAGGAAACCCAAGCAGAAGAGACAAGCTGTTGAAGCCTGTTCTCTTAATCGACTGGTCCAGCTATTTCTCTTGACCTCTCATGATTTGCTTGGTTTTACCATTAACTATTACTAACAACTATTTCATGTTTAGTGGTATTGCGCAGGAGGAGAAACAAAGTAATAATAAAAAAGGTAAGACTTGAAATAGCCAACTCAACACACAGGTTTTCTGACACAGAGTTTTTCTGAGGCATGTTTTCAGAAAGTGGCCACCCAGTGCCACTTTTAAACAACTCTGGCATCTGTTTCAGACTGGATATGTCTCACTATTCTCCCATGCCCCCAGTCAAGCTATGAGAGCGCGGCTTTGTTCTGCCACAGAATACTGGACAATTTCTGTCATCTATTAAGGATCCTTGAAGTCACAAAACTCTTTTATTTCCTCTGAAAATTTAGCTGCTTCATTATTTGAACAGTCTGTTTCTTACTATAAGTGTCATTTTATTTCACTTATACATTGATAAGTCTTAAAAAGACTGGATGACAAGGTAACTGTTTCTTTTCTCAAAAAAAGTATCCACAATGAGGAATAAAATAGCCTGTCATTAGCTCTGAAACCCTACCATTAGAAGAAAACACCACCTATACATTTGTTATTATAGTTCACCCCGCATAATGAAAAAATCTTCTAATTCCCTTCTAGCATTTTGTAAAAAACTTTTAGACACCAGAGTTCTAATTGCATGAATCTTTTAAGTGATCTTGGACAAATTACACTGTATTTGGAGTATTAAGACTATGAGATATAGCTGTATACCTGAGATAAGCCTGAACTAGTGCTTATAGATACAAAAGCATATACAGTAATTAGCCCTGGGGAAAAAAATAGCTGTGGAGCCACAGTGAGAGGTCCTTGCAGCAGCGATAATATTGCCTTTCATGCATATGAGCAAGTAGCACATTTGAACTATGACAAAAAACCCTTTTTCTTTGAGGTGCTTCATGAGAACATGCTGCAGCAAGGATAGCTCTGGCTGGAAATAAAGAAACTGTTTTTCACTGTGTAAGTGGTGTAGACACCTGGTACAGGTTGCTCAGGGAGGTTGTGGACTCTTCACCCTTTAACATGTTTAAAACTTAACTGCACAAAGCGTTGAGCTGACACTGAAGTCGCTCCTGCTCTGAGCAAGGGCTTGGACCAGATGAAGGGATCTTCCAAAGTAAACTGTCCTGTGACCCTCTCATAACTGGTAAAATAGGCTCAGACAGATGTAAAAGGAGACTTCTGATATCCATTAGCCTCTGACACGTTAATAGTCAGTAGGATTCCCTATTGACTGTTTAATGTCTTTTTCCTCTCTTCCTCCACTTTCCAAGACAGGAATACTGAAGCAACAACGAAATCAAACATGCAATGCAACCTCTTAAAATCACTTACAGGAACTTTTGCTGACTTCTATAAGTACAGAACTGAACCAACGAAAGCTGAAATGTCTACTGAAAAGACTATGGATAAACATGGGGCATATCAGACCAGAAACAGAGAATTTGAGTATCAGAAGTGAAAGCTGTGCACACTTTCTTTGCTGTGCTACCTTTTCATGTATTATTTCTAAGTTAACACAATATGGCTTCTCTCATGCTTTTTTTGATCCAAAAAAAAAAAAAAAAGTCTGAACAATACAGATCTCTGTGGACCTTCCCATGTGCTACGGTCACAGAATCACTACTAGTAAGAAAGAGCCAAGAAATGAAAGTCAGAGGTTCCTGAATGGTATAGTCCAAACCTTGTATTAAAGGAAAGAAGCATCCCAGGAGATGCCATGGCCTGAAGGACACTTACAGCATTTAGCCCACAGAGCTGGTAGCAGCCCATGGTGACGACCACGGTAACCACCTGCCATCGCACAGCACGGGTTCTCAGGAGCTGAAGTATCGACACTAACTTGGTGTTTCTTTGGACTCGAGACTCTGCCAAAACTTCTTCTATTTCATGAGAAACATCATCTTTCCCAAGGAATCTCTGAAATGCTACAAAGAGAGGAATATGCTTTAGGCCAGACACTTGGTACTGGGTGCGTTTATAACAGACTTGTTTCTTCGAGATGGAAATGTGTTACACAAACAGGAGACATACATGGGCTACAACCTAATTATTCTTCTGCCAACAATATCATTCTGCTCTGGGCACAATCTAGCTCATCCCTGCAATTGGTCTCAGAAACTGCAATAAGAATATAAATTATTTGTTTCCCTACAAGATCTCCCATGTTATTTCATATATAATATAGCCTAAGGTCCAGTGCAGAGTGAAAACCTTGTGTAATTTGAAAAAAACATTAATACCAAAGCAGCTCCAAACATTATTTGACTTGGCTACTTTTGCCGCCTAACAATATAGCTGAGATAGATTGGACAGAGAAGCAGCAAGATGTAAAAACTTATGAAAGTCTGGTAAACCAAGAAAAGGCAGACATTTGAAAGAAAGAGCTATTATTCTTCATGTTACTTCTGGTTTTTACTAGCATATAGACAAGAATTCAAGATGTCAAGACGATTAATATTAGAAAGAATTACCCAAAGCAGTTCAAGACTTTCTATTTGTCAATGCTGGAGACACAGGAGCAAATTTACATGGCAAATGTAACCAACCAACTAACCCCCATCTCCCTAGAAACATAGCATTTAATATTGCACATCAATGACTTATTGAGATATCCTTCCGCTGTGAAAAATAAAAGCTTTCCATCTCACACCTCCTCCTAGGTGTACTACAAACAGATACCTCCTAATGCATGTGGTGTATCTCCACCAGCTTTGTTTTAAAGATACTCTATATGCTGATATTTTGTCTCAATCTCATCAACATACCCCAGGGGTTGGATTTTTAAGAGATGGTTAAAATACTCATCATCTCACAACGACTGCAGAGAAACAATTCTGTTACATATACCTCTGCAACAAGGCTTTGCAACCCAGTAGGATGCTAACTCTCAAAACAATCCCTTACTCAGCAGGTCACTTAAAATTGTCTTTTTTATTAAATGAATAAGTTAATTAAGTTCTCCTAAGAGCCAAATGAATTTTTTTTATCCACAGCTTTGCATAACACTGCATATAAATAAATGACCACATTTTTTAGTAAGTTTATATCCTTTTGGATCATAAAAAACACCTGGATGGTCAAGAAAGCCAAAGAAGCTGACTAGTCATGGTTAAAATGTCCAGACTCTATTTAGGTTTTGAAGTTACAAAATTTTAAATTTACCCAGTAGGTGAAAAGGCCAATTAGTGGCATTTCAAAGTTCTGAGGGATAGGTCACACAAATGAACCAGTGGCCACTCTGGAGCACCCCTCTCTGCCACTTTGGTGAATGCACAACACTGCACATGCTGCCTGGCCCCCAGTCTGGTGGCACAGGGAACTAACTTGTGCTCTGGGCCAAGATTTTCTGAGGCACTTAGCGCTTCTAATGCATTTTAATGGGCCCTATGTGACTGCTTAACAAGAAGGATGGGTTTTTTCGAGGGACGAACCACCTCTGGGTGTTGAGTCAATTCATAACATTCATATATTGTGATAACCAGTTTCTCTCCAGTGACAGGAGAGGTCAGAATTTTTAAATTCCTCAGAAACAGCACAAGATTTATCTTTGCACGCAGACTCTACAATCACAAATGAGTTAACAAATTCGGATCTCAGAACCCAGATTTTAAGCTGCAGTTTTGTCCTTATGACACTGCCTGTTTTTTAATAAATAACATGCTAAGCACTCATTAAAATGAGTGTGATGTATGTAAAGACAGTGTTAGGAAATGTAAAAATAGAACGTGTGTCTATGGTATGGTATGATAAAATAAATGTCTTGTGCTTAAATTACACTTTCCTCAGTACTGTTAGACCACTGATTAAGAAAAGCTCAAGTAAAGATGCAAGCAACCAGACATATATCACCATACTCTTCTTTGAAAAGATTCTCTCAGATTTTTAAGCATCTGGTTTATCAGTGTAAACTAGGTCAGTGCACAAATTTCTTTATTTTTTCTGTCCTTGGAATTTTCAGCATTACTTTAGGGCACACAAGTCAAAAATATAGGTGCAGTCAAGTAAAAAGAAAGCAATCTGTCTTTTCTGCACAAGGGAGCTTGCTGTATTTCTACAGGGACCAGGAAGCAAAAACCTGCAATTTCCAAAATTACCAAGTACAAGGCAGGAAGAAGATAGACACCAGATTTCTTTTTCTTCCCTCTGTGGCATTAAGTCAAGAGATGCCACTAGGCAACTTTGATGGATACTTAAAATTCACAGAATCACAGAACATGACAAGTTGGAAGGGACCACAAGGATCACTGAGTCCAACTCCTGGCCTGGCTCCAGGACCATCCCCAAGAGTCACACCATGTGCCTGAGAGTATCATCCAAAAAATTCTCGAACTCTGCCAGGCTTGGTGCTGTGACCACTTCCCTGGGGATCCTGTTCCAGTGCCCAACCGCCCTCTGGGTGAAGAACCTTTTTCTAATATCCAACCTAAACCTCCCCTGACACAACTTCAGGCCATTCCCTTGGATCCTGTCACTGATCACCACAGAGAAGAGATCAGTGCCTGCCCCTCCTCTTACCCTCACAATGAGGTCTCCCCTCAGTTTCCTCTTCCCCAGGCTGAACAGACCAAGTGCCTTCAGTCACTCCTCATATGGCTTCCCCTCAAGGCCCTTCATCATCCTCATTACCCTCCTCTGGACACTCTCTAAGAGTTTAATACCTTTCTTATATTGCAGTGCCCAAAACTGCACACAATATTCAAGGTGAGGATGACCCAGTGCAGAGCAGAGCAGGACAATCCCCTCCCTTGACTGGTTGGCAAAGGTTTTCCTAATTCCCCCAGGACACGGTTGGCCCTCCTGACTGTCAGGGCACTGCTGACTCATATTCAACTTGCCACTGACTAGGACCCCCAAGTCCCTTTCTGTGGCACTGCTTTCCAGCATCTCATTACCATGTCTGTACAAACATCCAGGGTTGCCCCATTCCAGGTGCAGAATCTGGCACTTTCTCTTGTTGAACTTCCTATAGTTGGTGATTGCCTAATCTTCTAATTTGTCGAGATCTCTCTGTGGGGCCTCCCTGATTTTGAGGGAGTCAACAGCTCCTCCCAGTTTTGTGTCATCTGCAAATTTGCTTAGTATCCCTTCCAGTCCTGCCTCCAAGTCATTTATGAAGATTTGAAGAACACAAGGCCCAGGATGGAGCCCTGTGGAACCCCACTAGTGACAGGTGGCCAGTGTGATGTTACCCCATTCCCTATAATCCTCTGTGCTCGACCCATGAGCCAATTGCTCACCCACCACATGATGTGTTTATCCAGCTGTGGGTTGGACACTTTGTCCAGAAGGATCCTGTGAGAGAGTATCAAAAGCTTTGCTGAAATTACCAACAAATCAAGAAAAGCTAAGAAAATGTTTTGCTATACATACACAGTTTTGAGTAGACGGTACCCAGTCTGCTTGGAAAAACATTTTCCTGCTATATCTTTAATTTTCTTCCATTACCAGTTTTCAGTACCGTAAGAATCTCATAACTAATGTGGAAATAAATTCTGCATTAGCAGGGAGATGGGAAAACTCAAAGGTCTTTCAATGTATGATGTTCAGTTTATTCATTTTACATTCTAAACCCCTGCATTGCTGTCACTGAGAAGCACGGCAGTCGTTCCTCTCCTTGCTGCAATGACTCATTTCCCTCCGTGACTGTCTGCTTGTCTCTATAGGGAAGACCTATTTTCATGTAGCACTTAAAGCCATCTAAGGAGTTGAAGTTCTAGCAACTTTTAGACCTTTCCCAGATTTCTATTTAATTCCCTTTGATCGGAAGGTTCTAGATGCTCAGCTTTCGAATCTTGGGATGCTGTCTTTATAAACAGCAAAACAAGTGGATGGTTCCAGTCAAGGGGAAACTTTACACTTCCTTTTACACCACTAGTTTTTTTTCTTCTTGGCTAAGTGAAGGTGAAGCATTTGAAAGCGGTTCAAAGATCTGAACAAAATCAGTCAATACCATCTTTAAAACCAATCAGTCCTTTAAATTAACTGAAGATGGGCACTCAAGAACTCAGCTACATGGAGAATGCTTTTTCCACTGCAGCACTTCCAGGATTGTGCAAAAAAGCAGTTGTTATCCTACAGACAGAATTAGCACGTAAACTTTGAGAAGAAATTTTAGTGGATCAAAATGCTACTGCATGGTTTAGAGAATAGAGCCAGCCTCAGGCAAGAGGAGGCAGAAAAAGAGAGAAGCGGTCACAGGTAGTTTGGGCTTATGTCTTTAAAAACAAACAAAAATAATACAAATAAGCTGCATGAGTATTATTGTCATCTGTTTCCCATGGACGCATTCACTTTCACTTCCTTGCTGATTAAGTATATTAAACACAGTGTCACACTGTTATAAAGCTGGCTGCTGTTCTGAGCAGCAGTAGACATATGGGGTTCACCCAACCTCAATGCTTTTGAATTGACTGTAGAAATTTCCCTGTCATAACTCCATGTCAACACAAAAATAATTGATAAAATGAAAAAAACTAGTTATTTTCACATATAACTAATTTCATTAGAGTACTGGATAGCCAGAAGAATAATTGAGATGTATCTTGCTAGGAGAGATTTAAACGTAATAATGCTATTTAAATCTAGCAAAATATTTATTATCTACTAGCATGTAGCATAGCAAAATTTAAGATTAAATCTCAGTAAATATAACTGCAAGCAAAAAACTTTAGGCTTTTCCCATTTGTCACCTCCTTCCTCTTCTAAGAAAAGAACACACATATCTTCTATGAGTTATCATCGAGTTAAGGACTGCATCTTTACCTTTTTCGTATGTCTGGTTTCAGAGACTATCAATAGGCCTGTTCAGGTTCACCCAAAACTAGCTAAGATGTACAGGTAAAACAAACTATCCACATGCCACCCTAAAATAACACAACAGCTGGTAAACAGAGTTGTATTAAAGTCCAGTGAACCAAATATCTTTTGTAAAAGACAGGAATTTTAAGAAAAGTTTAGAAACAAATCAGACACACCACAAGCACTCCAGCTTTTGGCAGTCAGTAACCATCTGAGACGGAACCTATACCATAAGCCAGCAAGTGTAGGAGTCACAGCTGTCTCTTCCTTTCCAATAAGAATAGTTTATAATGCTTACAGACATACAAAATCCACAGATAAACAAAAATAAATTGTATATGTCTTTGTCGTCAGTCATAAACAGTTCATTTTAATAATTTACTGAATTTGCAGTAACTTGTTGCTGGTATGAATTTGGTTTTAATATCGCTCCTGTCCATGTCCCACGAGGGGTTTTGTAAAAAATTAGCTGCCTGCTTTCTTAAATCAAGAATGGCATTGCTCTCTTATCATGTGAGAAGGTATCAACTCTAATCCATCTTTCTAAGAATTTAAATCTACACTTCTTGTTATACCTATTGTAATGCTTCTTTCATAACCACAGGGTTTATAATGTATGACTGAACGTACCAGATGAACAGATTTTGCATGTCACCAACAGATGTTACCATGACATTTTATCTAAGTTATTTGACATAACAATATTCTTGTTCTCTAGCAAGCTGGGATGTCAGCTGAATTCGATTTTTGATTGACAAGACCTGCTCCTGTAGCTGCATAGAAAATGTAGGTTTCCTCCTTGTAACAGTATACTTCAAAAGAGACACCTCGGCTCTCCACTTGAAAGTGTTTCGGCTCTCCACTTGAAAGTGTTTATAACAAACGTTGTTAGTCATAAAAAGTGTTCCATTTTATCACATGACTATTACTGATTTTATTTATATTACATCATTGCGACAGTCACAGGTCAGGGGTGCACTTGCCATGCAACTAAAAGGCAGCTACTAGAGCTTGGATGGGAAATTACTGATGTAACTATAGCAGTAAGTTTTTCCTTTTCTTCCTGTTTCTATCCCTGCTACTCTTCCTTCCCATAATCTCCTTCTAAAGCCCTTCTCTTCAAGCACTTAAATACCCATTTCTTCTTTGCTGTCCAGTCAGCATTATGAAGAAGGATCACACCAGTTAAATGCTAGGCATTTGCCTCCCTTTTCTTACCAAGGGAGGGGAATAGTAGTTATGAGACCTGGGAGTAGAGCTGGGATGCTTGTACCCTCTCTCCATTACCAGACTTTTAGCTTCTTGAGCAAAGCAGGTTTATAGATTACGCGTTGCTCCAGTTAACTTTTCTCCTCCCACAACACATAAATCAGTTCTCCCACATTCAGCAGGAAGACAGAAATATGAGGGAGAGTTCCGCTCCTTTTGGTCTCAGGGGTTCAGATAAAGGATGATGACCCCTAGGAAGATGAGCCAAGCTCAGCTGTTAAGGCTGCTTTTGACAGCAACCACAAGTCGAACACGGCATCTGTGTGGCTGATGGGCCAGACATCGGCTCAGCTGCCCACAGCGTGCACCAACTGCACTGCTGTAAAGGGGGTAGGAGGACACCTGGTAAATCCCTGCTACCAGAGGGCAGGAGACACCGCTCAGCTGAGGCCACACTACTCCTGTGTTCACAGAGCAGCTTCTCTCATTGGTTTGTGGTTTATGCTCACACATGATGCTTCCTGCTCTAACTGCACCTCTTCATTTTTTTTCATTGCTTACACAACACATTTTGGTCCTTCTCCTCCTTCCAGTCTGTTATTTTCCCCTTAAAGACATCTGCCAGAAAAGACCACTTGTATTTCGGTAGTTATAGTCTGGCTCTTTCCTGAGACTGAGAAGAAAAAGGGGGGGATCAAAGCAGGAGCAAAACTTTGTGGAAACTCAATGACCCACATTATCCCACTGGATGTTATTGCTCCAAAACAATTAAGAAGATTAATGTTGTCAGCTCCATTTTAGGAGCTTTGACATAGATGCACATTTTAGAGTATTTCATCTGCATTAGATACAGCAGACCTTTTACAAATAACAGTTTTATATTTCTCTAACAAGGTATAATCCACAGTGAAAAATACATTTGCATGAATAGCCTTGATCCATTAGGGGAAAGAAAGGGGATTTAGTCAGAAGAAAGAGTTGCATATTTCCGATATTAATATGCAGATTTAAGCTAAGAGGCAAATAATTCAAGAGCTTTACTGTAGTCATCATTAAAATGGAGAATACTGCTTTGTCATTATATGACTTACAAGCAGAAGGGCATTTTAATAACTCATATCTCCTCTAGTCTCCCTAATACTTAGACTTTTCCTCCCTCATTTCTGTTGGTAATGCAAACATCCAGATGATTTGTCTTAATTGTTGATTCACTCTCCTATTTTGTGAATTCTGCTGTAGACTACACTCAAAATGAGTTTCACTCTGTACTACAACATATCTCAGTACTGGTTTTTTTATTCTGGAATTAATCAAATCCAAAAGCTTCTATTGACAAGCAGTTACTTTGAAAAGGTTTTTTGTATCAGTCTTTTCATTTTTCTCAGACTATCTAAATTTGTAGTCTTTAAGGTGGCTTATGAAAGCCATCCTCTCCTGATCAGCAAGCCAAAGCTCATTTTCCTTCAACTACCAAATACAGCAGGGGTAACTGCTCTCCTACTGCCTCCTACTTCAAAACCTACCTCCAATACCTCTGTATTATCTTTCAAATTATTTTTAGAACACGTATGCTGAAAACATCCCAGACTGCAGTTGGTCCATTAACAGCAACAGTAAATGGTGTGAATTTCAAGGCAAGTGGTGTTATTTTACTGCCATTTTTTTTACAACTTTTAAACTCTACCTATGAGAGGCCCAGTTTCACTGTCAGTGCTGAGATTTCCAGGTACTGTAGCAGGAGTTGCAATAGTTCCTCATAACAAGTGTGACATTATGCAATAGCATTGCAGATGCAGACTCTTTGCCAACCATAGCTCTGAAAATACATCTACAGTTTTATCAGGCAGATATCAGCCAGTTTAAACTTGGCACCCAAAGGCATTTCTTCTCAGCCCAGCCATGGTGCTACAGAAATTACCAAACAGCCAGCCCCACTCTGGGTCCTGCTTCCCTGCTGGGCACTCTGACCACTGCTGGCAGGCCGGCACTTTCCTTCACGGTCCCTGGAAAAGCTGTTCTCTGTCTCCTCAAATCTCTACTAACTCTGTAAAGCTAAAGAACTGTCCCCAAAGCCTTGTTGCTTTTGTGCTATTTTTTTAAGCACTGAACTGTATCTCCAAATGTCTGAGGCTCCAATAATCACTGAGTTCTTCATTCAACATCAAACTGAAATAATGTGGGAGTCCCTTCATTAGTGCACCATTTCTTTTTCAGAGCACTCATCAGAACAAAAGAGGCCAGTTTTTAATTTAATAAGAAAAGAAACAGGATAGAGTTGCATTAATTTTATGCTAAAAGATTATTAAATTTATATTTCAGGTGTTGATTCACACTTTGCAAGTAATTTTGCAAGCAACTAGTTTATGACTGAAAATGTTAAGGGTTACATTCAAATGAAGTTTTTAGGAATAATTTGTAAAACAGTTACATTTGATATTTTGGTATTATAATCAGACTGTCCTTCTTTGTACATTCCTGTTTTTAATGTGTCCCTATAATAAGCAAGAACAAATTTTCAACACTCTCTCAGCTGTATTGGGACCATAGTAAATTTACTGGGGCAGAGAATACAGTAGCTGTGATCACACAAGCAAATTGTTTTATACCCAGAACCTAAAGTAAGAACAAAATATTCTGGTCTGTGTCTGTGAAACAGAAGTAACATGGAAGCACTGGAAATTTTCAGTTAAACAGATGTATGAGGTTTTTATTAGATCTACGAAGGTTATTGAGTTACAGAAGCACAAGGTCAAATACTTGGAAAAAAAAGTAGGAACTGTGTTTTTATTAATCAAACTGCAAAGACTGTAGATAAGGGAGAGTCACAACAACTGAAACCGCCTTTCACTCCCAAATGACCCCTGTGTATGGTGGCTGACGCACAGCAGCAGGATGATTTGGTTAGGTCTGTATCACCACATATAATGCTATATAGGTTAGTTTGTTGGAGAATTTAATTTATAAAAACTTCAAAGTAACAGTTATGTTTACGCATACAGAGACAAACAAAAAAGGTGAGAAAAATTATTGCCAAGAGAATCTCTCCAATTAGAATATTCTGCTTTTAGTGTGATATCAGAATCAGATATGTCCAGCCTGCACTCCTTTAACAAACAGCCTTTGTTGAAAGAAAGTAACATGTCATACCTTTTTCTGCCTCACTTGTGTTATGCTTTTCAAGTAGGAGGTAACGAGGACTTTCAGGAAGAAAAGGCAGAATCACGACTTGTATCAATGAAGGAAAAGCGATTGCTCCAAATAAGTAAGGCCACCGAGATTCCTGCAAACAGATACAAACATAAGTCAGTATAGTCACATATACCTTCACGTGGTCTCTTTGTCTAAACTCTCCCATAGTGATACTAGGAAGAAAATCAGCTTCAGTGGGAAACACTGCAATTTTTCATCATTCAACATATCAGTGATCAGAGTGATGTGTTCTTCCTGAGCTTAGTAAGCGGTTTGAACACCTCCCCCTCACATCATCTTACTCAAGGGCCGAGGAAGGCAGAATTCCAGCCATCAACCGAATAAGAATGAAAAGAGAGATACAGGAAAGTTGTGAAAAAAACCCAGCAATATATAGGATATTTTCCTTTCCATCAGCATCAACAATTATACAGATAAAAATATTATATATACTCATATATTCTGCAAGTCATACACACACACAACCATAAGCTTTAAAGAAACCCTATAAAACTCTTTTCATATAGTTACATATACCTTCACATTGTCTCTTTCTCTAAACTAATCGATCTAAAATGTTGATAACACTTGAGCTAAGCTGCAGTTTAGCACAGTTTTGTGGTTCAAAAGGCAGGCAGTGACTTTTCAGCATTTCACAGCTTCTGGGAACAAACCAAGGTGGTCTCAGGTCTCACCACAAACATCTACTTGATGAAACACAACATTTGCCTTGCAGGAACAACTGACACATAGTTGGGCGGTTTTCATATATGTTCAGAAAAGACAACACATGCAGTTCAACACGATTAGAGCAAAGGACAGCTAAGTTATAAATTTTACAAGAAAAACAATATCTGGCTAGCTGTTGTGAGGTGATATTTATGAATGCTTTCTCTTACAGCCAATGATTCCATCTCCTAAGCTGGCTCCCATGCTAATTTAAGAATAAAAAACAGGTTTCATCTATTCTTCTGCCCAAAATCACAGGACCTTAAAGAAATCCTTCGGTTTTAGAGTAGTATAACTAAGAATAGTACATTGTACTGTTTCCCACTCTGAATTAGCTAGCCTACCTCAGATATTTACATGAAACACTGACAGTCCTTTTCCAAAGTCCGTGAAACAGAAAGAATTTTTTCTACTGACTTGCAAATAACCTGCTGGAAGTCTCCAGCAAGGACCTGAAACACCAGAGGCATCTGCAGTACCCCCACCAATGCAAAGCACTGATGAACACTCTCTGGCAAGTCCCCCATGTGGAAGCCAGGCATTTTAAACTTCCAGAGCATCACTGCTGTGCAGATATAGAGCACAAGGTGCTGCATTATCCAATACTATTGATGTGAATCTACTTGACTGCTAGCAGATTTCAGATACAACTTGACTTTGATAATTTTTTTTTATATCAACTGAAACAAAGTTGTTAACATCCTCAAATGCATTCTTAAAACCAGCTATAGAGGGTAACTTGACCCAAGTTTTTTCAGGAATAGGCTGGGAAAGACAGCAGAGAGCTCATCTGGTTCTTTGGGCTTACTCTCAAAACAGGATTCGTTCAAGCACTTAAGGAGCAAGGTGTCAGCATTATTATTTTCTTCTACAGAGAGGTCCTCAATCTGTCCATGTTCTTCAGATATCTTCTGTTCTAACTGAATGCCAACATGAAATTTTTTTTGCGTAGTATGAGATGTAATCCATGCCCAAATCTGAAATGGGGCCCAAGATAACCGAATAATTCCTGGGAAGAATATGTGGGGTATTTCCTAATCAAACTTTTCACTTGCCCTTTAAGTGATAGAGGTGTTTTTTTTTTAAAAAATCTCCTGGGATAGGAAAACAACTTGAGAAAGGGTGTTTTGCAAACAAATTAAAGCTTGAGGTAATCAGTTATCCTAAGAGCCTCTATTACCATGAAGACTTCAAGACACTCTTAATTCCTTTTTTCTTCTTTTTCCAATGCAGTTGAGTGGAGAACTTTACCCAATACAGGTGAACACTCTGTTTATAAACAAATAAGCCTGTATCTTATTTTAAAAACTAGGAAACTAAACTAAAGTTATAACTTTAAGAACGGTCAATAATCACAAAAACAAAGTGGGTACTGGTTTGTCAAGAATAACTGAGGAAAACAGGCAGCTTCGTTCCATGTCTGCCTGGAGTAATTTCCTGTAATATAAACACATTTGTTATGTACTGTACAAGAATTTTTGACAATACTTCCAGATAAAAATCTTACTCTTGATCAGCACATCATATTTTCTGTAGTTTTTTTTCCACAATGTCAAGAATGTTTCTTAAAGGAAAAAGGAAAAAGTATTCTTTGTATACTGTTATTATTAGCATTCTGCCAACCTACGGAGACTTCCTTGGAATAAGCTTAAACTTCTTTTAAAGTCTCCTGTAGTGTGTGGTTTATCAGTTGGTCACATTCTCTCAAAAACTTTTCTGAAAGCATTATTTTGAAAAAGTTATGAACAACACCCTGTACTTACCCTTTACAATAAATACCAGTATAATGAAAAGCCATTTATTTTCACCACATAAGACACCAAGTTTCCTTCATTTCTTCTATGAATGATTTCTGTTTTACTTTTTATCATGCTAACTTCTAAAACCTTAAGGTAAACACTCATAAATATGGTCCCATTTGCCATTGCAGGCATGAGTTGATCAGTAAGTCACTGAAGTCAAGGGAAACTTCTCTATCCATTTTAAAATTCAGGTGATGCCTATTCAGTGCTACGGAACTGTGTTCTACTTGTTTTTTTCTTAATTTACATTATCCAAGTTCAAATTCTTCATTCCACTACAGAAAAGAAATAGTAGGACTAAAAAAAATTTAAAAGCTTAATTAAAAATTGCTGAAAATCAGGCTGAATTAGACCCTATAAAGAGAACAAAAAGAAGCAGGGAGAAGGAGGGTTTCATAACCTCTTTAGAAAGGTTAGGACAGGACATAAACTGGGACAATGCCCAGAAGCAGTAATAAGACAAGCAAAAGACAGTGCAGGTGTGACTTAGAAGACACATTAACACTTTACCTCAGTTGTCAGCAGTAAGAAGAAGAAGCACACAGGCACTGCTGAGAGAAATGAAAACAACTACATCCCATTTTATCTCAGGAAAAAACTTAAAAGAGCATTAAACATTTTAATTACAGGAGATCTGATTTATCACCTGCTCAGAATTGGTACAAACAACATGTCAAGATGGTAAAATTTTAATTTTAAACTGTCACATTATGGATATTTGCTTAGGCTGGAGCATGAAAACCCTGGTTTTGATGTATTAACAGAAGACAGTTAAATAGTAGAGCAAGTTTGACAACCGTAGACTCATTCAAAGGTTGACATAATAAAGTGCAAACCTGCAGATATAGAATGTTGGTGGGGAGTGGGGTAGGTAAAGCATGACATGGATTTATCAACTGCAAATGAGACAAGATTAAGCTGTACTGGAATACAGTAAAGCAAATGTTACCATGCCACAAAATCATCAGCTAAAGTAGAGAAGATGGAATTTACTGTAGCCATCAAAAGGTGGAAGAGAAACTGGTATGGGGAAATGTCAACAGGCACTGCTGACAGCTGAATTACTGGTCCATATCAAGCTCAATGACTGATTTAAGCACCAGTGACATTTAATATTTTCAGCAATTAGGAAGATTTTTATAAGATTTGAAGACTGGCAACACAGAAGAGGTTAACAATATATATAGATGAATTTTAACAGGGAGAAATGAATTGTTCACAGGGTCATGCAACAGAGGTGGGAAGAAGTGCTGTACTGCTCTGGACATGGACATATGTTTTTTGAAAGATCTAATGAGGCAAATTAAATATCCCAGTATGAGATGGATGACAGGATCAAAAAGACTCAGTAAGGAAATACACAACTTTGACAGGCTCTACTCTCTCTGTCTCTCTCTAAATAATTTCCCAGAAACATAGAATGACTTGGGTTGGAAGGGACAAAAATCACTGAATTCCACTGCCTTGCCGTGGGCAGGAGCACTTTTCACTAGATCAGGTTACTCAAAGCCCCATCCAACCTGGCCTTGAACACTTCCAGGGACAGGACATCCACAGCTTCTCTAGGCAGCCTGTTCCAGTGTCTCACCACTCTCATAGCAAAGAATTTCTTCCTAACATCTATTCTAAACCTCTGCTCTTTCAGTTTAGTTGTGATGGGCTTACTACAATGCTGAACACTTTATAAACAGCAATGACCTTTTCTAATACCTTTCTCGTGTAAAATTACAAGTTTTACCCATTTCACATGGGGGGAGCAAAGAGACAAAAGCCTCTGGCATCCAATGCAAGATACTGGAAATAGCCAGGAAATAGTGATTTGGAAGTTTCTTCATTTTTATGTTTCTTTAAGAAGCAGGAACACATTTAAAATCACAGGCACAGATAAAAAGAATTACATCTAGTCTAATTTCTAGATGTCCTGAAGCATCTTGCCTCACCTCTTGCTGTGGCTACAGAAGGATACTGTAGATCTGATATTCTGCGTCACATCTGCCAGTCCCCACAGGGACTGGCACCCATGGGCATCAAAATGATATTATGTGTCTTTATTCAAGTAATTGAATTTTGTCCTCTCTCACAGACACTTGGCACGAAAACTAGTTATATCAGAAATATTTCATTTTGCACAAAAAAAAAATCACATCCCTGCTCAGAACAAACTGAATAAACTTACTTGGGTGTGCAAAGCTGAGAAGACTGCACAAGTTCAGCATTTCTCTGTTAATCTGTTACCATGCCACATAAAGTACTCCTAAAAGTAAAGGACAATCACACTGGCCTGGGGCCAAGGACTGAAAAAGCACTGAGATGGAACTAATTTCTTAGCATTAGAACTGTCTTTTCTTCCTTGAGTCAAGAGTATGGCACAGTGGTGATGATCATGAGGCAGCTGAGAAAAGGGTACTTTCATAACTCAGGCTTCAGACCAGCTACTCAAGTAAGGTGCAGAACAACTACCTTCATCTTACCTTGTACCACTCCAAACACTGCTCTACAACCTCCTCTGGCTGCAAAGGACACTAATCTCACAGTTACGCCCCTGCCGGACACCCTTTTC